TGGACCATGGCTGTGTGATGAGGGGATATGCAGCCCCAGCCAAGGCTCCGGGCATGGGGGCCGGGGACTAGCCTTGGCTTGTCCTGAAGGCTGTTGGGATAGGAGTATGGAGAGAGCCCTGTCCTTTGGAGCCCGTAGTCTGGAGGAAGAAGCTGCGCTCCAGGAACCTGGGGTTGGCTGGCTCTGGGGAAGTAATCCATTTCCACAGAGGCGAATTCAAGACCTCACTGGGCAGGTGTGAATGTGAGTTGTGCAGAGAGCAGGTGGGACAGGTCTGGGAAGGGACAGGACTTCCCACACACATGGTGCTGGGCTCAGTGAGGGAGAGGTGGCTCCTTGACCTCTCTGTACCATGCCCAGCACGTTCCCCAAATGAGTATGGTATGTCTATAGCCACGGTATGGTTAGGATAGTATGTTAAAATGACAGAGGGCCAGTGAGATGGCTTAGCCAGTAAAGGTACCTGTCATGAAGCCAGAGGACCTAAGTTCAATCCCCAGATCCTACATGATGAAAAGAAAAACAGACTGACATACGTATGTGCATACGCATACACACACACACACACACACACACACACACACACACACACAATCAAGTGAAAGGGACCTTCAGAACTAGAATTCACCTAAGTCCAAGCCACAGCTCAGCTCCCTATGCTTGGGCTTTGTGCAGTTGGGCCTCAGTTTCCTCACTCAGGCAGCAGTGACCCCTATCACACAAAGCCATCCAGAGGCTCTGAGGCACCCATGGGCTCTCAGGGTCATGCAGGTGCAATGCACTCAGATTCTTCTCTCCTCCCAGAAATGCATTGACTGGAACCGTGAGGTACTGAAGAGGGAGCTGGGCCTGGTGGAAGGCGACATCATCGACATCCCACAGCTCTTCTTCCTGAAAGGCGCCTATGCCGAGGCCTTCTTCCCCGACATGGTGAGGGTCCTTAGTGGGTGGGAGGGTGGACAGGTGGGCAGGCAGGGCAGAGTGTGGGCCCCGGGTTGGCCACAGGGAGTTGGAGCCTTTGGTACTTGGTGGGCAGTGGTGGGGGAAGTTGCTGAGCACCTTGTGATGGTCAGGCCAGGCCCACCGCAGGGGGCTGTCATTTTCAAAATGGAATAGAGAACACGATGTTTCCACCTTCTGTTTTGAAGGCATTTTTGTCTATTCTGCTCCCTCCCTGGTTCTAGCTCCAGGCTCCCATAAGGACTCACTTGTCAGGGTTCCTGGGTCTGGCAGGTGGGGCAAGTGGCAACCTCCTGGCTGTCATTAGCTGGGCAGCTGACACACAGATGAGGCCAAGTGACCTCACCTGGGAGGGGCCTGAGCCATCTACGGGCCCATTTCCTGCCAGAAAAGGATGTGGGCACTGGCCTCTGTGAGGGGTGGGCCTTGGGGCGGGGAGTGGCCGTGCTTTTCTAGGCTCCCATAAGGACTCACTTGTCAGGGTTCCTGGGTCTGGCAGGTGGGGCAAGTGGCAACCTCCTGGCTGTCATTAGCTGGGCAGCTGACACACAGATGAGGCCGTGACCTCACCTGGGAGGGGCCTGAGCCATCCACAGGCCCATTTCCTGCCAGAAAAGGATGTGGGCACTGGCCTCTGTGAGGGGTGGGCCTTGGGGCGGGGAGTGGCCGTTCTTTTCTCCTGTGCCTTTAGCTTGGGTGCATCGCTGGGACAAGCCCAGGGGAGAAGTGAGTTAGGGGCCGGGTACAGGTGCAGGCTGGAGGGGGTGGTACCTGGGTCCCTGGAAGGTAGGTGCACACTGGGAATGGACTTCTGGGTCCTTGGCTGTCCCTGAGGTCCAGCCTCCAGCCTGGCAGTAACCACGGGCTTTCCACCGCCACATCCCCCGCCGTCAGGACCCGATGGTCTCTGTGCAGCACAGCACACATACACGTGTCTCTTGCTTTTCTCCTTACAACAACCAACAGTGCGGAGGGGGAAAAATCCTGGTGGTCAGGACTTCCAGTGAGGATGAGGAGCCCAGGGGACAGAGTGGCAGAGTCAGAGACCAGAAAGGGCTTAGGATGTGGTGTGCCCACCACCAATGTAGCCCCCTCTGCCTCTTCTTTCTTGCAGGTCAACATGGTGGTCCTGGGCAAATACCTGGGAATCCCTAAGCCCTTTGGACCCCTCATCAATGGCCGCTGCTGCCTGGAGGAGAAGGTTCGCTCCCTGCTGGAACCTCTGGGCCTGCACTGCATCTTTATCGATGATTTCCTGTCCTACCACCAACTGCTTGGGGAGATTCACTGTGGCACCAACGTGCGTCGGAAACCCTTTGCCTTCAAATGGTGGAACATGGTGCCATGAACCTGCTCAGCCACCATCCTCACTGCCCTGCTGCTGGGGAGTCCCAGGGTGAGGGCAAGGACCATGAACCAGACTGCCTCCTCCTGGGACCTAAAAGCCAGCTGGCCACAGCTGTCAGTGGGCTCCAGGGGGCCACAGCCCTTTCTCACCTCCAGATTGGCCTACCCAGCCCAGTGGGGAGGCCTGTTCTCACTTTTCCTTTCCTCTTCCCAGCCACAGCCCCCAGGGGTTCAAGGCTGGCAACTGAATATGTTCAGGCATGACCTCTACAGGTGGACCCCACTTTGAGTTGTTCTCCTCTATTTGGACATCTCTCTGGGGCCTGAGGAAAATGACTTTGGATCTGCTTCAGAGATACCCCACCACCCACCCCCTGTACCTGGACCCTGGAGTGAGAGTGATTGGATTGTATAAGACAAAAGGGAAAGTTTGAAGTGTCCTTTTTCCAAAGGGGACCCCAGGCAGTGACCTCCTTGGCACCTTCAGCTCTGTGTAGGTAATCAAGGACAGGAAAACCTGGTGTCCGAGGGCCTCTTTCAAAAAGGGACAGGAGCAAGCAGCAAAGGCTCTTTAATACCTGACTCTATCCACCCTGTCCACCACAGGGTGCTTGTTACCTGTTACCTGTCTGGACAGCCTTTAATTACCAGAGCTCGTGTTTCCGGTTGGAAGATGCTGGGGGGCAGAGGGAAGCCCGGGCAGGAGGGCTGGGGCAGGAAGGCAGGGTTGCTCAGTGGGGTGTGTATAGGGGACCGGAAACCTCTGCACCCCTGCACCCTGGGGCTCTTGTCTGGGCATTTGGGGGCTTGGAATCTGAAGGCAGCTGACTGTTCCAGATGTAGAGAGGATGGAGCTCAGGTGTTAGAATAGGGTGGGACAGGAGGTTGGTTCCATCTGGAGGTGGGGTAGGTTAGGTTTCATCTGGAGGTGGGGCTTAATTTCCTCTAATAGTCTGTAATTACTCCCCAACCTGCTGCCGGCAGTGGGAGGGGAGGGCCAGAGCTCCCCCAGCAGCCTGGGACCCTGCACCCACTTGTACTGCCTGAGTAAACCCTGTGGCAGGCCCGTGTTCCCCTCCTGGACAGACAGCTGCTCCTGTGAGGCTAATAGCTCTGGGTGAGATTACAGAGGCATGTGTAGGCAGGCAGGCTGGCCAACAGGGCCACAGGGCAGGGCTGATGGAGGGAACCAGCCTGCCCTCTTTCTCCTCTGACCGAGGGGCTACCAAAGGCTGCTAGCCCCTGGACTTTTCTCTGCATTTTATGGTGACCCCTGGAGAGATTCCAGACTAGAGCAGTTGCTGTCATTTTCTAGCCTCAGGGCACTTAGTAAGCAAAGGCTTCCCTGTAACTGTTAAGGTGGATGAAGCCAGGTAGTTATTGGCTCCTCCCCTTCCAGAAGGTTCTATGGAGCTGGAATCTCATTTGCAGGCTCCTGACATCAGCACCCTCCTCTATGATCGTGACCCAGCTGAGGCTGAGCCATGGAGAAGGAGAAAGGAGACAGATGGAGCGAAGAGGGGTGGGCAGGGCCTGGACTTACCTAGAGGAGGCTGGTGTGGTAGAGAAGAGGGGACTCTGCAGAGCCCTGGGGAGCAAGCCTTCTGGAGTTGCAGTCAGGGCAGTCTGGGGTCCTGGGTGACCAACCACCCTCTTTCTGATCAATAAAAATACCAGTGTGCATTTCTTTATGTGAGTGTCTCCCTTGTCTCCGTGCTGGGCTGGGGGAATGGGGAGGAAAATGAGGGGCTCTCGCCTCCCTGTTCCCATACCCTGCCACCAGCGCCTGGACTCAGCTTCTGCAAGCCACAGGCAGCCCCTGCCAGCTGGGCATCGTCCTGGGCTGGGACTGATTCAGCAGTGCGGTTTGCACATGACAGCTACTCCAGGGCTCCACTGCTTGCTGAGATGCTATCTGAGGAGGGACCTGCCTTTTCCTATCCTCTTTCCCTGGCCTTATCCTCCATCTGTCAGGGAACCTGAAAAGAGGTTGGGGACATTCCGGATCTTGTTGGTAGAGGGGGATGATTCTCCAAGAGGGCTGGTGCCCGAGACACAGTAATTCCGCAGCCCTGAATCCCATGCTGTTACTCAACCTTGGTGGTCTGATTTGAGGACCTGAAAACACGACGTTCTCTCATCTTACACACTGGCCACTGCCTCAGATTGTATCCTTTGACACTCAAGCATTTATTTTAGCTTTTGTGATGGATTAAGAAGTTGTCCAGCAGTCCCTTAAAAGCCTGCGTGAACCACAGACCATTTCTAAGAGCTGGTACTAAGGTGTTGGCAACATGGTTCAGTGGGTAAAGGCACTTGCTGCCAAGTCTGATGACCTGAATTCGATTCCCAAGATCCGTATGGTGGAAGGACAGAACTGACTCCCACAAGTCATCCTTTGACCGCCACATATATAACGTGGCACTTGCACACTCCCTCATTAAATGAATAAATGTATTAAAATAAAATTTAACAGCTGAAGACAGGGCTCTACATCCAAAGGAATATCTGGAGGCTTGTGCCCAACATAGTTTGTCAGCCCCCTTGGGGGGGTCCAGGTCCCCACTTTCTGTACCCATTCCCACATGTGCTGAAGCCAGCTAGAAAGGCTGTCTGACTTGCTTCAGAGCTCTTACCCAGAGCTGAGTTGGCCACTAAGCTATTTGACAGCAGGAAACAGAAGCTGCCACCAGACCCTGGCTGTTTTTGAGAAGAATGCCCCTCCCAGACATCGGAGGCACCCTCAGACTGGGGCAATCTGAGAATGGATCCTGGTCCCTGCCCTGCCCTGCCCTGGAGGGTTGACAGCAGCCGGGGAGAAGGGAGGGGCCTCTACTCAGCACATTCTGAGCCTCAGTAGACATTATCTGCCAGTGCAGGTGACTGGCCACATTTTCTAAAGATGTGGAAAC